GAAGACTGCGGATAGATCTGTCTATCACCATGCACAAAACTTAAGTCCAAATGGATCAAAGACCTCAACATGAATCCAGCCACACTGAACCTCTTAGAAGAGAAAGTGGGAGGTACCCTTGAACGAATTGGTACAGGAGACTGCTTTGTGAACATAACACCAGTAGCACAGACTCTGATATCAACAAACTGAGAAGCTTCTGTAAGGCAAAGGACACAGAAAATAAGATAAATAGGCAGCCCACAGAATAGGAAAAGATATTCACTAACCCCTCATCTGACAGAGGGCTGATCTCCAAAATTTACAAAGAACTCAAGAAGCAAGTCTCCAAAACACCAAAGGATCCAATTTGGTGTGGGGCACAGAAATAAATAGAGAATTCTCAATAGAAGAGTCTAAAATGGCTAAGAGACACTTAAGAAAGTGCTCAACATCCTTAGTCATTAGGGAAATGCAAATCAAAACAACTCTGAGATATTATCTTACTCCTGTCAGAATGGCTACAATCAAAAACACCAATGACAGCTTATTCTGGAGAAGATGTGGAGAAAGGGGAACACTCCTCCACTGCTGGTGGGAGTGCCAACTTATACAGCCACTTTGGAAATCAGTATGGAGATTCCTCAGGAAAATGGGAATCATTCTACCACAAGACCCAGCAATTCCACTCTTAGGCATATATCCAAAAGAAGCAAAGTCATACAACAAGGGCATCTGCTCCACTATGTTCATAGCAACATTATTTGTAGTAGCTAGATCCTGGAAGCAACCTAGATGCCTCACAACTGAAGAGTGGATAGAGAAAATGTGGTACATTTACACAATGGAGTACTACTCAGTGGAAAACAAACAATGAAATCTTGAAATTCACAGGCAAATGGATGACACTAGAAGAAACCATCCTGAGTGTGGTAACCTAGTCATAAAAAGACAAACTTGTACTCACACATATATGGATTCTAGACATAGATCAGGGGAGTGCCACCCTGCAATCCCATTGGCAGTGAGTCTGGAAAACAGGGAGGTTCCCAAGAAAGAGAAGAGGAGTGAACCAAGATCTCATGAGCAGATTGGAAGCATGGGGGGAGGGGAGAGGGAACCGGGAAAAAGAGAGCCAGAGGAGAGGAGAGGAAGATATGAGGGAGAAGTAAGGTTGAGTCGGGGGAAGAATGGAGGAGACCAGGATGAGAGATACTAAATTAGAGGGAGTCATTATCGGTTTGAGGAGAGAGCTAACACTAGTGGGATTTCCAGAGATCTACAAGGATGACACCAACTAGTAAACTAAGCAATAGTGGAGAGACTACTTTAATTGTCCCTCCATGATAATGAGATTGACAACAGCCTTGTATGCCATCCTAGAACCTTCATCCAGTGGCTGATGGAAACAGAGACACACACCCACAGCTAAACACTGATCTGAACTCCTGGAACCCAGTGACAGAGAGGGAGGAGTGATGAGCCAAGTGGTCAAGACCATGCTCGTGAAACCCACAGAGACAGTGGACCTGACAAGGGGGAGCTCTTGGACCCCAGACTAATGGCTGAGAGGCCAGCATGGGACTGATCCAGAACCCCTGGATGTGGTGTCAGTGAGGAGGCCTCAGGAATCTCTGGAGCCTTGGGTTGTAGATCAGTGTTTACCATGGCATACGAATGAACTTTGGGAGCTCATTCCTTATGGAGGGAACCTCTCTCAGCTTGGACACATGTGGGAGGGCCTAGGCCCTGCCCCAGATGATGTGACAGACTCTGGAGATCCCCCATGGAGGGCCTCACCCTCCCTAGAGAATGATGTGGGGTTTGGTTGGGGGGTTGGGATGGGGCTGGTTGAGGGGTAAGGAAGGAGGGGTGGGAGAGGGAGCTGGGATTGACATATGAAGCAAGCACGTTTCTAATTTAAATAAAAATATATTGAGAAAAAAGAAAATATATGCAATAACCTAATGACATGTAAGGAAATTTTTAAAAAAGGCATTGGGAGATGGAGACATGGTTCAGTGATCATGAACACTTCTGCTCTGTAATAAGGACCAGGTTCATATCCCTGCATCCATGTTGGGTTGCTCATAAATGCCTGCAATTTCAACTTCAAGAAATCCAATGTCTTCTGTTCTCTTCAGGTACGCGCGCGCACACACACACACACACACACACACACACACACACACACACACACACACACCAAAACCCTGAAGCAAAGCAAAACCCCAGAGGTAGAAAGTGGCTTCTCAAAATCTTAAGCTTGCTAGTTTCAAAACTAGGGTAAATATTGTGATCCTGTCATTTGCAATCATGTGGATGAACCTGGAAGACTAACGTTATGTTAAGTGAAATAAGCCAGACACAGAGAGACAAATGCCACATGACCTTAGTCATCTGTGGGATCTAGAAAAGCCAAACTCACTGGGATGGAGAGTGGAATAGTGATTACTAGAGGCTGTGGAGAGGCTGAATAAAGGGAACACATTCACAATCAGATAAGCAGCTGTGCTATCAGAATGACTGCAGAGAACACATTCAAAACAGCCACAAGAGAAGGTTTTGGAGGTTCTCATCATAAAGAAATGGTAAACGTTTGAGATGAAGGGTGATGTAGGTATACTGAACTGACTAGTGCAGTGTGTCTGTACCAGAACCTTCCATGGGATACTGTAAAGATAGGCAGTTATTATTGGTCAATAAGGAAGACCAAACACTGTTCCTACCAGGACAAATCTCAATCATTCAGACAACAGGGGGGAGCTGACTCTTGCCCCCACACCCCCCAGTTGAGCAGGCCTGGGCTGCTCTGAGCTGTCTAGGCTGTGGATTTATTTGTTACCCAATAAACTCCTTCAGCTCTGAATCCAACCTGCTGCTCCTTTTCTCTTCCAGAGCAGCTGGCTGGCTCCCACAGTCCTCTCCTTGGCAATGCAAGCTTGGATATTTCTAGCATGCAGGATGTGTCTAGCTCACTAGCTCACAGGCTTAGGCCTGGGCTTCCCTCCAGGCTCAGAAGGGAGACTCCTCCCTTCCTCCTCAAGGTTCTCTCTGTCTCTCTCTCTCCTCTCTCTCTCTCTCCTCTCTCCTCTCTGTCTCTCTCTCTGTGTGTCTCTGTCTCTGTCAATCTCTCTCTGTCTCCCCTTGCCCCCAGGGCCTTGTAACATAGCTTTGGATGGTCTGAAACTTACTATGTAGAACAGTCTAGATCTGAATTTGTGCCTCCCTCCCGATGGCTGGGATACATCATGAATTACTGTGTCAGGCTCTAGCTGTTTCTCTTCAAGGCCACATACTATTTCATACATTTGGCCCAGGAGCTAGAGAGTCTCCCAGATAGGTTCTGTTAGCTCAGATCTTGTCCTTTCTTTGTCTTTTTCTTCTTCCTGGATCAGCAAAGAACTTTATTATCTTCCTGACAAGATTGGGAACCACTTATCTGGGTTAGCTTCCAAGGGTGTTACTTTTGTTATAACTGAGGAGGGCATGTTTACCCCGGATGTGGGCAGCACCACCCTGTGGTCTGGGAGTCAGGACTGAAGAAAAGGAGACGGCTCTCTGAGTACCTGCGTTTATGTCTCTGTTTCCTGATGCAGACACACTATGCTCCACGCCACACACTGGCATTCCTGACCCCTCCATGATGGATGGTGTACCTCAGACTGTGAACCAAAACATGCCCTTCCTTCCTTAAGTTACTTTTGACAGGCATTTTGTCACAGCAAGGAGATAAATAACTAAAACACTTTCTAAAACTAAGCAAAAGAAAAGGGGAGAAGATGACATATTTATACATTTGTTCATCCATTCATCCATCTATTCATTTATACGTCTGTCTGGGTTACTTTTCTATTGCTGTGATAAAACATCATGACAATGGCAACTTGTAGAAGAAAGTATTTAATGTGGCTTATGGTTTTAGAGAGTAGGCGTCCATGATGGCACAGACCAGGAACAGCTCAGAGGTCACATCTTAATTTATAAGCATGAGGCAGAGAGAAATTGCAAGTGAATGCACACTGGGAATCACACCAAGTCCTTTGAAACGTCCAAGGCTATCCCATGACACACCTCCAATAAGGCCATGCCTCTTAAACCATCCTACCCTACCTGGGAACTAAATATTCAAATACATGAACATAAGAGGGTCATTCTCATTGAAACTACCTCTGAATCCATTCACTCATCCATCCATCCATCCATCCATCTAGTCATCTAACCATTTATGGCGTAATAAATCGTAGTCCAAGTAATAGAGATGTGGCACTTCCCTGTTGCTGAGGAAGAACATGTTGTCTAGTTAGTAGGAGGGAGGACAGTTAGTAGTTGAAGGCCAGAGGCTGCAATTCCCTGGACTTTCATTTGTGGTGTGTGTGTATTAGTCCACACACTGGAGGCCTCAGTTCCTCTATTGCTCAGAGCTCTAGCTGGCCCACCGTAAGAGCTCCATCATTGCCAAAGGAAAGAGTAGTGCTAATAAAGTGGCGCTGTAGCCCTTCAGTTCCTTCTTTTTTTATTTTATTTATTTTAATTTTAATTTTAAATAGCTTGTTTTACATGTCAATCCCAGTTCCCTCTCCCTCCCCTCCTCCCGCACCCGCCCCATCCCCCCCACCCTCCCACCTTATTGCCAATTCCTTCTGCATAGGGGATATCTAGAGTCTGTCATTTCACTCTGGGTAGGGTCCAGGAAGAAACAAGTATTAGTGATGGCCTGGAAGAGATGAAACACACCCAGCGTTATCCAAGCTAACCCTTTGCTTCCTTCGTTCACTTGGATATGCCGATATTTACAAGTGAACGGGGAAGGGGTCGCGCTTTCTTCAGTCCTGATCCAGTTGAAAGATTTTGCCATGACATCACAGCTCTTAGTCACCCCTTGCTGCGTATTAATTATCAGTTAAATACTAATCATCCATAGGAAGCTTCAAGCTCCTCCAGGGACTGCATGAGTTGCCTAGAAAAAAAAGGTAGGGACGTTTCCCCGCAGTGAACAGAGTAGACAGAGTACAGCAGACCCTTCTCTCCCCTCCCGATTTTTATTGTTTACAAAAAAGGTTCTAACCCCTGCCTTAGTTACCAGCCACAAGGGCAGAGACATAGGTTAGAGATTTTTGGTATGCTGCATTTGGGGAGTCAAAATGGCTTTTGGGTGCCCCCTGCTGTTACCCACTGGAATTTGTACAAAAATACTCGGTTCTTGGTCTGCATTGCCCTCTAGTGGGGAGAGTAACTTTCAACAGTTCCGGTTGGCTCTTCTAAACCAGGTTGTCACCTGCAAAACCAAAGAGCAAGAAAGGATGAATTATCGAGTTGTCAGAAATGGAGCGTGCCTGCACACACACACACACACACACACACACACACACACACACACACACACACACACACACACACACACACACACAAGCGGGAGATAACTTAAATCTAGGGGAATTGTTTGATTTTTTTTTTTTTTTTTTTTGCCTTATCATCTTCCCCAGTAGAGTACTCTGCCCCTGGGCTTTTTCTTAGTCATTCGTGAATGCATTCATTCATTATGCTTTCCCACAAACACTCATTGAGAACTTCTCTGTACAGCAGATCCTGCCTTAGGTCCTGCAGCTGGAAAGCAACATATTTGCATGCTCCTGTAAAATTTCCCTTCTGGGTGATGGCTTTTGCATGAAGGGTTCTTTAGCCAGGGTACCGTGTCTTAGAGCTTGGACTATTCTTCTAGAAGGAATTTAACATGCACTCAAGAAGAAACTGCCAAAGAGAGAATCTGCAAAGAACGAGAGGAGTGCATTGCTCATAGTGTACTTTCAGGGGTTGCTTGGGAGTGGGAATGTGAGAAACAGTTAAGAAACTTCTTGCATTTCTAAAAACATTCCACCAAAGCTTGTTGGTTGGCTTCCATCCTCAGAAAGGAGGGAGGAGAGCACTGTGAGCGGGGCCCTTGGCTTACTTGTTTGTTTGGGGTGCTGGAGAGTAAACCTAGGGCCTTGTACATGTGAGACAAGCATTCCATCACAAAGGAGCTGCTCACAGGGGTCAGGGCAAAGTTAAAGAAGACAGAAGTTGGGCTCCTGGTCTCTGTCTGTCTCTGTGTCCCCCCCCGTGTGTGTATGTGTGTGTGTGTATGTGCGCGCATCCTGCACAAGCACTCCTATGTACTGCCAGGAATTGGCACCCTGGGCCTTATACACACCAGGCAAGCACTTTTGTGGAGAGCTCCAGCTCTAGCTCATTGTCTTGGAATGTCTTTTAGTTTCTCAGCATCCACTCAGCAACCACCTCTGTCTCCAATGTGACATTTTGTGACTGTCAGGTAAATCCTCTTTGGACATACTTTTTTGGACATATTTTTTTTCAAGACAGGGTTTCTCTGTGTAATAACTTTGGCTGTCCTGGACTTGCTCTGTAGCTTATGCTGGCTTCAAACCCACACAGATCCACCTGCCTTTGCCACCACCACCTGGGTCTCTTTGGACATATTAACTTAGACCACTAGCTTCTACCAAGCAGGAAAAACAAGCATGCCATCAGTTCGCTCCTGAGAACTGTAAGCAAGATCCCCTCGTGCCAGTTTTGTAACTCATCTACCCAGCGATTTCACCAGTGTCCTGAAAACTTCCTTGATTTGTGACTTTCTGTTGTCCTATAACTAAAACACTTCATGAAACCAATTCCACTTGGGAATGTGCCTTTTTGGGTCAACGAGGATTTGTTTCTGGGCATGGCCATCCATGTTTGGCTTGAGAATAATCTACCTTACTCTCTGAGTTGAGTGGTGTGTTTTGTACCAACAGAAGGCATTTGGGCCATCTGGGTGCTTGGTACTTGAAAAAGTGAGACTTGGTCTTTTTGCCAGCCTTAGGTCCTGTTTGATTTCTAGAGATGCCATGGAGAGTGACTAGTCTAATGAACCAGTGTTCATGCACAATCTTCCCAAAGAGGTCTCTGACCGCAAGTCAATGGGTCACTGTGCTGGTGACTGCTTTAGCAGTCCCTTCATCTTACAGATCTGTGACAGCCATGGACTTTCATAAAATCTGCACAGTGGCACAGTCAGCTCCAGGGAAGCTCTCTCCAGCTCTATCCTCCTTCTGGAATATTGTCTCCTCTGCTATTCAGTTCCTGCCCAGGTGTGCAGTGGGGATGAACCCTTGTTTGGAAGGTCAGGGGAGGAATAAATTCACACTTAAGGTTTATGGGAGGAATTGCAGCCAATCTGTGAAAACTCTCCCAGACTCTCCTCCTGAAGGAGCTCAAGGAAGCCCCTCCCACCTTGTTAGAGCACATATTCTTTGGGTGGAGTTTTTTTTTTTTTTTTTTTTTTTTTTACGAGACAGGGTTTCTCTGTATTGTTTTGGAGGTTGTTGGTCCAGCCCGGCCTTGAACTCACAGAGATCCGCCTGCCTCTGCCTCCCGAGTGCTGGGATTAAAGGCGTGCACCACCACTGCCCGGCATGGGTGGAGTTTTGTTAAGTAGCCCACTGGCCTCACTCCAGTCTCCCAAATACAAGAACTGTGGACGGAGTCACTCAGCTGTTGTCTGCCTCTGTAGCCTCAGTTCCCGTTTCTCTTGGCCACCTCAGCCTTCTCTCCATAGCTGGAACAGCCAGTTCACGCCAGCCTTTGGGCCTTCGCACCTGCTGGTTCTGCCTGATGCTCTTTCCAGATGTGCATGCTGCTCACCTGGTGTTCTCATTACATCTAACCCAGGGTCGCCGAAGTCAAGACGCCTCCTTAAGGCTGGCCGGTCTCTTTCCTGTGGCTTTATTTCATTTCATTTACAACCCTGTCTTACTCATTTATTTTATCTGCCCTATAGTTTGAGAAAAGCTGGGGCTTTGCCGCTGTATGCTTGGTGCCTGGAATAGTGCCTCCCTGGGCCAATGCACATGTTGTCTAACACAGGGCTGAGCACACTGCTGTAAGACACCAGATGCCTGAATGCACCGAAGTACTCCCCCTCCGTCCAGCTCCCTTCTCTTCCTGAGCAGCTCCATCTGTGTCTGCCTGGGGCTCAAACTGGTGAGAAGAGTGCAAGGGAGATGAGAAATCATTCTTTTTTCCCCCTAGCATGACAGCTTTAGTGTCACAGGGTAGTAACTACCCACCTTGTGAGGTTTTGTTTTTTGTTTTTTGTTTTTTTTTGGTTTTTTGAGACAGGGTTTCCCTGTGGCTTTGGAGGCTGTCCTGGAACTCGCTCGGTAGACCAGGCTGGTCTCGAACTCACAGTGATCCGCCTGCCTCTGCCTCCCGAGTGCTGGGATTAAAGGCGTGCACCACCACCAACCGGCTGGTTTTTTTTTTTTTTTTTAAACTGAGCAGCACACCAGCCTTTTATTAGTCCTACCCCAGGCAGATAGCTTCAGGGCAGCCCAGGGCTCCTGCCCATGAAAGCCACCTGGGGTTTCATGGGCTTTAAAGGATGTAGGCCTAGGAGTGTACATGCCGAAGGGATACAGGATGAATGTCTGTAACCAGGACCACAGAACCACAAAACATGGTTGAATGACGTACAAAGGTACTGATGCACATCTGTCAGAGAGCAGGGCTATATACGTGTACAGCCTGCCAGCCAAGGTTGGCAATGACTGTCTTTGGTATTAGGGACCACTCGATCTTGGAGCCATCACTGTCATTGTTTGCTTCTTGGTGAGATGTTGTGATGGTTTGAATAAGGAATGAGCCCCATAGACTTATGTGAGGAGCCGCCCTCGCTATCGCTATTGCCGTTAGAAGATGGCGCTGACATCCACTGTCAGTTGGAGTTAACTGTCGCTGTCAGTTGGAGTTAACTGTCGCTGTCAGTTGGAGTTAACTGTCGCTGTCAGTTGGAGTTAACTGTCGCTGTCAGTTGGAGTTAACTGTCGCTGTCAGTTAGAGTTAACTGTCGCTGTCAGTTGGAGTTAACCGTTTAAACTGTGCCTCTCCCGTGACGTCATCTGGGGTGATGTGCAAACCACCAATCCCGGCTCTACACATCTCACTCGGAGCTCCTAGGCTTATATAAGGGGCTGGGTTTCTTAGCTTGGGGTCTCCCTCTAAGAAGCTGATCATCTATCTCTCAAGATGCATTAAAGCTTTACTGCAGAAGGATCCGAGTGTTCTGCGTCGTTCTTGCTGGCGAGACGGTAGCGCGGGACATCTGGTGCCGAAACCCGGGAACTCTTCAACATCGCCGGCGCCGCGGGAGACCCCTCGGAAGACGGGGCGGATTCAGAACTGCAGGGACGTAGGTTCAGAGAGGTATGCTTTATCCTGAACAACCCTTTTCTCGACTTTGGCCTTAGTTTGTCATCACCGTGGGACGGGTCAGTGGAGGCTTTGGTGCTAGTCCTGTTTGTCCTTCTCCTTCATCGTGGCTGGTGCTGACAGAACGGCGCTGTCCATCTGGCGCTGTCCGTCTGGCGCTGTCCGTCTGGCGCTGTCCATCTGGCGCTGTCCATCTGGCGCTGTCAGTCTGGTGCTGTCAGTCTGGTGCTGTCAGTCTGGTGCTGTCAGTCTGGTAACGGAGTTGAGCGCGTTTTTTAGATAAGCTGTCAGCGCGATGGGGTCGTCACAGTCAGTGGTTACAGCCTTACAGACTGTGCTAAAACAAAGAGATCTTAAAATTGCACCACGAACACTTCAAAATTTTATGAAGGAGGTAGATAGAGTGGCACCATGGTATGCTTGTTCCGGGTCCCTCACTGTGGCCTCATGGAACAAGCTAGGTAAAGAACTAGACAGGAAGCATGCAGAAGGAGATCTCTGCTTAGGTACCAAAGCCATTTGGAAGCTAGTTAAAAACTGCTTGGAGGATGAGGCCTGTCACCCTGCTATAATAGAAAGTCAGGGAACCTTAGAGGAAGTTCAGGATAGCATGTCAGAAACTGAACGGAGTGAGAGAATGGGAGCTCGCAAAAGAAAAGACATGTCTAAGAAAAAAGGCCCTCCCCAGGAAGTTAAGAAAGGGGGAGAGAAAGAAGGGAGTTATCATTCACCCCTTAACAAATCTAAGAAAAAGAAAAAGCCAGAATCTAGTCTATACCCTGCAGTAGAGCTAGAAGCCTTGGAGCTAGATAATTCTGATTCTGACACTCTGGATTCTAGCGAAGAAGGTGGTCTAGAGGAGGAGGTGGCACGGTATGAGGAAAAAGATATCACCCTGATAGACACCGGCCACTGAAAACAAAAATGAATGTGAGGCCACCGCCTATAAATCCGGCGGGCTCACGCTCCTCAGCGCCTCCGCCATATGAGCTTCGGCTGAATACTGGTACTGACTCCTTTTTACCTTTA